CAAATTGACTATTCCATGATTTCAATTGTGTTATAAATACGGGAGTGTGAAATTCATTCTTAGAATCATAGAATTGGAAGGGACCGCCAGGGTCATCTAGTCCAACCCCCTGCACAATGCAGGACATTCACAAATACCTCCCCCTCCACACCCACAGTGACCGCTGTTCCATGCCCAGAAGATGACAAAAAACCCCTCCAGGATTGCTTCCTGACCCCAAAATGGCAATCAGCATTCCCCTGGTCATGTAAAAAAGGCCCACAAGAACTAAGCACTGAAGCAATCCTTCCTGCCCTCCCTTTCGTGATCTGCCTAAGTTCACAGAATCCTTATTGCTGTCAGATGGCCATCTAGCCTCTGTTTGAAAACCTGCAAAGTCATTGTGGCACAAGTCTTTGTACATACTTTGCTTCTCTGTGAGCATCTCTTGACTGTAGAAGACTTGTCTGTGTATTAGTTTGGGTGTACAGGCCTATAAACAACCATCCTCATGGTCCCACCACTTCCCAAGGAAGCCTGTTCCACTGAGGAACCACTCTGTCAGGAAGTTCTTCCTAATGTTTAGCCAAAAACTTTTTTGATTTAATTTTAACCTGTTGGTCCTGGTCCAACCTTCTGGGGCAACAGAAAACAACTCCACATCATCCTCTAGATGACAGCCCTTCAAGTACTTGAAGATGGTGATCATATTGTCTCTCAGTTGTCTCCTCTCAAGGCTAAACATATTCAGCTCCTTCAACCTTTCCTCATAGGACTTGGTCTCCAGACCCCTCACCATCTTTGTTGCTCTCCTCTGGACACGTACTAGCTTGTCTATATCCTTCTTAAATTGTGGTGGCCAAAACTGAACACAGTACTCTAGGTGAGGTCTAACCAGAGCAGAGTAAAGCGGTACCATCACTTCACATGATCTGGACACTATACTTCTGTTGATACAGCCCAAAATCATGTTTGCCTTTTTAGCAAACACATCACACTGCTGACTCATGTTCAGTGTATGGTCTACTAAGACCCCTAGATCCTTTTCGCACATACTACTGCCAAGGCAAGTCTCCCCCAACCTATAATTATGCATTCTGTATTTCTTACTACTTAAAAGGATCAGTCCAATATTAAAAAGAAAGAAAAATCCTGTATTGTGGCAGAGACCCCATGAGTTCATGTAACTGTTGCATTTGTCTTCATTACTATGTCTTCATTCCCAGCAGGAAGATAGACCACCCCTGACTTCCCAGCTCTCCAAGCCATCGGTCCCTACGGTTGCATCCTCCACAGATATGCTCCACAGTAAGCTTTCGCAGCTTCGTGAGTCGCGAGAACAATACCAGCACATTGATACGGACTCCAATCAGACCCACTCTTCTGGAACCACCACTTCTTCCTCCACAGCATCCAATATTGATGACTTGAAAAAAAGACTGGAGAGAATAAAAAGCAGCCGCAAGTGAAATGGCGTGAGAGCACGGCTGTTGCAGAGCTATTCAGCCTTAGTTTACTAAACTAGAAGTCTTCGTAGCTAAAGAGGCCTCATGTAGGCCTCATGTATACAAACTGGTTTATGTGTATAATACCGTGGATCTTGGAGGAAGTTCCAAGTCATTGTGGCACAAGTCTTTGTACATACTTTGCTTCTCTGTGAGCATCTCTTGACTGTAGAAGACTGTCTATGTATTAGTTTGGGTGTACAGGCCTATAAACAACCATCCTCCTGGTCCATCCAGTTTCTCATAACTTGTTTTTATTTGTAAAGTTGTCCTATGTTTCCTAGCTTTTAACTCTTAAAAGTTCTCCAGTGGATGATCTTTTAATTTTGTGCATTTCTTCTCCATATAATCCTTGGAACCGTTTCTGTATGGACGCATGGCATGAAGTAACTAATTTAAGTGTCTTTTTGTAAATAAAGTTTGCATTAACTCTCTGGGAGCAACAGTGACTGTTGGTGGGAAAGGTCTGTCAGTGTTTCTAGATGCCAGTGACATGGCATTTCTAGATGTGAGTGAGTGGCTAAAGTCCCAGCAATAGCAGTGGATTGGTACGTGTTGAGGCTGTAGTCAGAAGCAGAGTCATTAAAAGTGCAGGCATGCTGCAGGTTGCTTTTGCCAGAGCCTCCTGAATGGTTTGGGGAGAAAGCTTTTTCTGACTGTCTGTTTTGAGGAATTGGTTTCATCCCTTTTGATATTAGAAACTTTTAACTTGAAAGATAAATTCAGCATCCCACATTCAAGACTGGACCGAGTTCTTCTGATGACTTTTTGTTTCTCCTTTTGTTATTATTGTACCTGCTCTAGGACCCTAGATATTTAAATGTGCTCATTTGATCTTGGCAAACTTCCAATTTAGTTGGCAGCCGTAAGCTGTTAGAAACTTTGTATGACCTATGATTGCTGCTGAAGATTGACAATGTCCCCTTAGGACACTGTTTCCTGGTTGCTTGTGCTCTGAAGTGGATGATACTTTTGTGAAACATGGTCAGGGGAATTCCTGAATCTGTTGCTGCTTTTATGTATGTGTTATGCAGTGTAACATCCGTGTACCTCTTACGATCTGATTCACAGAACCTCCTTAGAATTGAAAGGATTTTTTCTTTTGTCTTTTTGAGGTCTTCCCTGCTGCGCCACTTTGGGCTCTTTTGAACTAAGTCATGTTGCAGCTTCGTAGTGGTAATCTTTTGAATATCAGTGCTTTCCCATGACTGACAGAGGCTTCATCTCATTTTTGTTTCTTTAGAAATCTTAGGCCTTGATATAGTGCTGTCTGTAACCTACCTTCCAGCTGTACCCAAACCATCAATTTGATTTTTATAGAAACCTCATATACCATTGTGTTTTATGTGTGCACTGATTTATAAATGTAGTCCACAGTAGAGTACTAGTGTACATGGGAGAAATCTGCTCCACAGTCTCTCTTTTTTCCTACTCTTGGGTTATCTCAGTTTATTCTTTCACACAAACACTTATTGCAGGTAGGACTGTAAAGAGTGAATTAGCATCCCTGTCATACCGGAGGGAAAATGAGCTGACTATTTAAAAGCTGCAGTTCATCATTTGCTTGCACTGTGGTGTGCCTTGAAATGATGCAAAAATGCTTGTGGTTTTCTAGGGTATATTTTTCTTGTGCAGTTTCAGAGCACAGTCCCTTTTGTAGCTGATGCCCTAGTCTGAATTTCATTCTATAGAAAAGCATTACATTATAGTCTACTGGGTCACTTCATTGATATAATAAATGCACTAGTAATGACGGGTAATGGCAGTTGGATACAAATTTATAAAATGGGTTCATAAATGAGACTTGGAAATGCAATGAAGCTTCTGTGACAAACTTTCTACTTTGTCTACAATAGCTGTTCCTCTCAGTACAACAGTGCAGGTTTGGTTTCATGGTACATGGTTTCAATTTCAGAAATACCCTGTTTAGGCCTATTCAACTTATCATAAAGCCAGTGGAAATGTTTCTACAGAATGTTTGAATAAATGTTACATTTTTACTACTAAATTTCTCTGTACTCCCTGAATCTTGGCAATATAACTATGAAAAGTACTCCAAGAGAAATGGAACCAGTTTCTCTCTTCGACAGTGACTGATAAGGTCATTTCCTTGATGTGACTGTGGGCTGTATAGAGAAGAACGTTTATTGAGTGTAAACAAATGGTTGTAATTGTCTAATATTTATAGAATTTGACATTCTAATTTTTTTAATGGAGCTTCATTCGCTCAGTGGAGGAGTGGTTTCCACTGTAGAAAAGGCTTGGCTAACAGCTCAGAAAATAGTGGGATCCATTGATTTGCTTTCAGAAATGCTACTGTGACTATTTCTTAATGGCTTAAATAAAACCGCATCCCACCAAATGCTGTTCCTCGTGTATCTGCCCATCAATAACTCAGTGCAGAGTTTGGAGCTTGCCTGGCCTGTTCTACCTTTCCCCTCCTGAGTTGAGTGAGACCAAGATACAAAGATTGATCTTGACTACATTTAAGGTAAAGGTAAAGGTTTCTCTTGTTCGAAAGCTAGTCGAATCTGACTCTAGGGGGCGGTGCTCATCTCCGTTTCGAAGCTGAAGACCCAGTGCTGTCCGAAGATGTTTCCGTGGTCATGTGGCTGACATCACTAAATGCCGAGGCGCATGGAATGCTATTACCTTGCCACCAAAGCGATACCTATTTAGCGACTTGCAATTTCTTGCTTTCGAACTGCTAGGCTGGCAGGAGCTGGGGCCAGAGACGGGAGCTCACTCCATGACGCAGCACTCGGGTCTCGAACTGCTGAGCTACAGACTTTCCAGTCTGCAGCTTCAGCATCTTAACCTCTGAGCTACCAAGCTTAAATTTGGGCCCAGCAGACATGATCCCTTTTGCAACATGCTTTCTGCCTTAAAATTGCATCTCGAGGGCATGGAAAGCAAAAATACTGATCTTATAAGTACTTCGCAACCAAGAGCACTAGCTTGGGAAGGACGGTGGCAATTTTACATGTTACTGATGCAGTCAAGGAAGCAATTTAGAGAAATGTTTTTCTTTTTTCCAACAGTAACTGCACCACAATGATAATACGTAAATTGGCCCTCAGTTTCCTGTCTGTAATTCATTTCTTTTGTGTATTTCACAGAATATTTTTGTATGCCCTACTACAGGAGGAAACGTTTACATTCAGTACCTTTAATCCTGATTAGGCCATTCTCCCTGCAGTGTTTTGCAGTAGATGAATTCTGAAGGCAACCTCTTTGCTTCTATTCTTCCCTTTTGAAGCTGCAACAAGAGCTATAACGTGATTCTGCTTTGTTACTCTTAAAATTAAACCAGTACACAAATGTTGAACCGACTTCTAGTGAAGTATACTTGGCCTCAGGCCACAAAACAAAGAACTTGCTTAATTTGACCCAACATGTTTACTTGACAACAGAACCACCAGGACAAATTTATTAGTAATGTTCGTTTATACAAGTTCAGTTCTTGCTCCTGGTACCAGAGTTGATTCTTGGTGCAGAAGCTTTATTGGAGTTTGGCTTTTAAAGCTTCTCTTAGCTTTTTGGTACTGTAATGTTTGCTTTTTAGACATACTTTTCAAATCTGGGCTGTAGGTTGAGATAAAATTCCTTTTAATTTCCATGCTTCTCTACAGTCTTTTTCAGCCACTTCTTCAGACGGAATACATGGGTATAGAATCCATATTTACCGTCCCGATCACAGCCTTCTCCCCACGAGACGATACCCACCTGATACCACCTGTTATCTTGTGGGTTCTGAAGGGCAAAAAATACAAGACTTGTCAACAGGAGAAAGTATATATACTACAAAATGCATAGGTCATAAGAACGAAAGGGGTGAACATCTAAGGTCCCTGCTGTTCGGGTGCCTGGTAGGCATTCACCTTCCCCTTGCATTGTAGCCCTAGTTAGGATGTTTAAAGGTCTCTGTAAACCGCTCCAAGCGTTCGGGAAGGAGCGGTATATAAATGGAAAATGTAATGTAATGTAAGGCAGGACTGTATATAGAGAAGTGCATGGGCACGGAGAAAAGCTTTCAAATGTGATAGTGGGGGCAGAATGCAATTACTAATTCTCTTATGTGAGAGCCAGTTTGGGTTTGATTCCCCACTCCTCCACTTGCACCTGCTGATGTGACCTTGGGTCAGTCACAAGCTCTGGCACAGCTGTCCTTAAAAAAGAGCAGTTTGTGTCAGAGTTCTCTCAGCCCCACCCACCTTACAGGGTGTCTGTTGTGGGGAGGGGAAGGGAAAGGAGTTTGTAAGCCGCTCTGAGACTCCAAGTGAAGGGCAGGGTATAAATCCAATCTCCTCTCCTCCTCCTCCTCTTATAAAAAGGAACTTCTCTTATGGTTGTGTGGGCAAATGAATGTTAATCTTGGAAACAAGTGGAAGGGCTGAAGAAGAGGGCAACCAGGATGGTGAGAGGGTTGAAATCCAAGTCTTATGAGGAAAGGCTCAAAGAGTTGGGTATGTTTAGCCTGGGAAAGAGAAGGCTTAGAGGGGATATGAGTACAGTCTTCAAGTACTTGAAGGGCTGTCATGTAGAAGATGGAGCGGATCTATTCTCTCTTGCTCCGGATTGCAAGACTATATCTAATGGATGGAAATTACAAGGGAGTCGTTACCAGCTAAATATCAGGAGAAACTTCCTAACTGTAAGAGTGGTTGAGCAGTGGAACACTCTGCCTCGGGAGGTGGTGGATGCTCCTTCGCTGGACGTTTTCAAGTGGAGGCTGGACGACCATCTTTCGGGTATGTTGTAGGTATGTAGGGCTATCTTTCAGCTATGCTGCAGAGTGCAGGGGGTTGGACTAGATGACCTGCAAGGTCCCTTCCAACTCTAACATTCTATGATTCTAAGAAGCTTTCCAAGGGTCAAGAAGTAGGGCTTCAGTGTTCTGCATTGCTTCTTGTCCTTTTTAAAGACTTAACAAAATGTATTTATTTCACAGGCCACTGGACTGACAGCAAAAACAAGATACAAAAGATAAATACAGCTTCTCTGGAACTGCCCTTTTTTAAAAAGTTGATGTTATTGCATCACTCTAAACATTTCACATACCTTCATGACAAATGGGCCTCCGCTGTCACCTTCACAAGCATCCCCTCTCTTAGAGTCTTCAGGACTGTACCCTAAAAAAAAATATGGAAGTCAGTCAGTTATGATTGACAAGTGATCTAGTTATAGTGCTGTCTTTGCTACTTTTGGTGTGAATTTAGGCAGCCCAAGCAACCACGAAGAAATTTCCACATAAAACATTGGATTTACAGTGCAGATTTCTTCTCAAAGGTATCCTGAATTGGGTTACACCCCCCCCTCACTCCACAGGCAGAGATATGCAAATTATTTTTGCATTGTTTCCACATCCAGCTGGGGTTCGTGCCCAGTTAACACTTGCCAAGCTTGAAGTCGAGAGGACGTTATTTTGCTGAAACTTCATCCTTTGAAACTTTTTTTCATTCCTTTCCCAGAAATTTCTCCCACCATATGGGAAGGAAGAGATACCTTCCACTCCACTGATAAGAAGAAACCCTTGTGGTAACTCCAATGTTTCATGCTTCATCAGTGGTGAGAGGTATCTTGAAGTGGGATGTTGCACAGCTGAGTCATTCCAGGTTGGTTGTTTGGGTGTCGGAGGAATTAACTGGGCAGCTACCTATGGGAGAATTCTCCTGCCAAAAGCTGATGTTTGATTGTGTAGGCCTAGCTGATGGTATCGTACATCCACCTGTGCTGAGTGGAGTGTCTCCAGGCTGCTTATGAATGCATTGTTGATGGAACTGTGTCTTTCCTCTGCTGTTAGACTGGCTAGTTGAGATGCCTCTGTTGGCTTGGGGAAAAATCTGTTTTTTTCCTGGAGGGCTTGGACTACCTGGAACCACTGGAGTTAAGCTGTCTGTAGGGGCTGCAAGTGGCTCAAGTGGTTAAGACGCTGAACTGCAGGCTGTGGAAGGTCGGTAGTTCAGCAGTTCGAGACGGAGTGAGCTCCCGTCTCTAGTTCCAGCTCCTGCCAACCTAGCAGTTCGAAAGCAAGAAATTGCCAGTAGATAAATAGGTACCACTTCAGTGGGAAGGTAACAGCGTTCCGTGTGCCTTGGTGTTTAGTCATGCCGGCCACATGACCACGGAAACGTCTTCGGACAGCGCTGGCTCTTCGGCTTTGAAACGAAGATGAGCACTGCAACCCTAGAGTCGGATTCGCCTGGCTTTCGAGCAAGGGAACCTTTACCTTTAGGGGCTGCAAAAGGAGCAGAAAGCACTCTGGGAAGACCTGGTGGATTTGCTTTCGTTCCTCTTAGAGGCAGAGGGCATTATCCCTCTTTTTCTCCTTTGTTTCAACCAACACCTCATCCAGGGTTGCATCCCCAAACAGTTTTATGCTGCTTCAGCTGGAGGTTGTGTTGAATCATGAGGATGGCATCAAGGGAACTACTGGAGAATTGCATGGAATCCAAACCATCGGCTTAGATCAAGATGGGTAGCCACATTAGTCTGTCTGTAGCAGTAGAAAAGGGTAACAGTCCTGTAGCACCTTAGAGACTAATAAAATTTGTGGTAGGTGTGAGTTTTTGTGAGTCCCTGCTCAGTGCTTCAATCTGAAGAAAAACAATGACTCACAAAAGCTCATGCCCTACCATGAAGTGTGTTAGTCTTTAAGGTATTACTGGACTCTTTTCTACTAAACCATCGGCTGTGAACCCTGAGGCGCTCTTAATATTTGTGTGTGTGTGTGTTAAGTCGCTTCTGATTTATTGCAAGACTATGAACAAATGTCCTCCAAAACGTCTCATAATGGCGGACTTCCTGATGGCACCTGGGTTTTCGCCACTGGCACAGAGTGTTGGACTAGATGGGCCACTGGCCTGATTCAACATTGGCTTCTCTTATGATCAATATGATCTCTAGTACCTCTTCCTTTTCAGAATCCAGCTTGAACATCTGGCCTTTCTCGTTGCATATATGGTAACAATTTTTGTTGTAAGATTTTGGAGATCTCTTTACTTGCGTGAGAAATTAATGCGATGGTCTGATAGTTGCAGTGGTCTTCGATATCTGCTTTTTGGGCATTGGAATGTAAATTGACCATTTCCAGTTGGTGGACCATTGTTTTGTTTTCCATATTTGTTGGCATATTCTTGTTAAGATTCTTATGAACTGTGTTCTGGGTCTTGTCTATTGATATCCCATCTATTCCTGGTGATTTGTTTCTCCCAGTTTCTCTCACTGCAGCTTTCACTTCACTTTCTACAACTGCAAGCTCTTCTTCAAAAGGTCCTTCTAGGAAGGAATGCCATGCTTTCATCTCTTTTGTATAGTTCCTCAGTGTATTGTTCCCATCTTTTCTTTATTTTGTCCTGTTCAGGTAACGTATTCCCGCTTGTGTAAGTCTGACTGGGTCTGGGTTCTGCAACAGGGCATCACAGCAAAGACAGAGGCTGATCAGCTGGCTCTGATGGTTAGAGTTGAGGCTTCGTGAGCCTTTTTAAGGGAGAGTTCATTCTTTCTGTCTGCAGGGTCCTTGAGGGCATTGTCTCCATCCTTGGAGAGCACTGCCTCTGAAAGAAGAGCTGTTACTGAGGCATCCCCAAGAGAATAAAGATTCCTGGCCATGGGATGCAGGCTCCTGTTTCCTCCAGCTACAGCCCAGTCACCTCTCAGATTTTCTTCAAAGGAGTCTAGGAAGGGCACGATAGATGGGGTCTGAGTGGGTTGGCGAAAATCCTGCACTCCCCTTCTTAGAGGTGGATTGTGCAGTCTGAGATGGCAATGTCAGTGGAGAATTTCAGCTCTGCCATCACATTGGCTAGGAAACTAGGAAAATCCTTCTGTTGGGAAAGCCTGGTACAGGCAGGTGCAAGGTGGGGGCTTCATCTCCCATTCACCCCTTTCCTCTCTTATCAGACTGCATGGAGTTAGATTCTGAGTGTTTAGAATTGAATGGCCAGCGGGGGGCAGTGTGGAGCTGTACGTGGGCCACGGGGAGTCCAGCTTTCTGTGCCTGGAGAAGCTTCTCAAATCTCTGCTCCTGGAAGTATACTTGGGGTCTGGAGAACAAGGAGTCGGCCTCCCCCAGATAATGTCTATGATGAACTCTATAGAGTTTCTGCTGGATTTTTTTTTTTAAGGGAGGGAGATGATGAGGACAGCCCCTCTTGGATGTCTTTTAACAACCGTGTTGATAATCCAGGAACAAATATCTAGATGTAGGGACTCCCCATCAAAAAACCACTGGGGAGGGGGGGAGTCCAGACCCCTGGGATCTTTGCATCTCCCTGTCCCTTTGCTGGTTACTCACTATGTGGGAATTCTTGTTGTTGGTAATAATATCAGCTCGAAAGCCTTGGATGTGCTCCTGCCCACTTGAATTACATTGGAGGGCATTGGCATGCTTGAATCAAAAGCGGCTCTCTTGCGCTCCAACAGTTCCTCCTCTGTGGCCACTAGGGTGGAGGCAGCAGCAGTTTGAAAGGCTTCTATCTTAGCCAAAGCCTTAGGGGGGGGGGGAGATCCTGGCTGGTTCTTTTTGTGGTTGGGGCACCAGCTGTTCCCTCAACCTGGGGAGCCACTGCTGACATGATACCTGCCCTAGTGGACAGTTTGGAGGCAGGGCCTCAACTGAGAAATCTCAGCTCAGGTGTGTTCTGGTGGAATGCTCTGGAGAGGTGCTGGGACATACAGCCGTCAAGCTTTAGGCATATTGTGAATCTGCACTCCTTGATCAGCCTAAACACTTCCTTTGTCTTCTCCTTGTTTCCTAGGCTACTTTCAGTTTGGAAGAGCTGTGGGAGTTCAGCTCTGGTTATTGTTGGGAGCTAGGCAGAGCAAGTTTGTTAACACTTATTGTGCAGTCTTCCCTTTGGCAGCCCATCAGTTACTGGGCTCAGCTTAAGGTACTGGCTACCACATACGAAGCCCTTCGTAGCCTTAGACCCACATATCTGGCAAGACCACCTCTCCCTCTACGTCCTACTCTGATGACTTTGTGCATCTGGGCAAGGCCCTCTGCAGGACCCACCCTGCAGCTAGATGCAATCAACAGCTGCCCATAAACGTAGTGGTCCCCACCCTGTGGAAAGGCCTGCCTGTGGAAGGAACGAAGGCGGGCTCCCACACGTCTGGCATTTTGCAAACTATGCAAAACAGAATTGTTCAGAATGGCATTTTTTCTAATGGAAGTGGGGCTGCAGCATAAGAGTCGGGTCCAGGAAAATGCCCAGCTGCCTCTGCATTTGAGACTTGAGAGGCTCTCTCGTTTTGTATTAAGTTCTTCAGTCTGAAGGGACAGGTCTTCCCCTTGCTGTGAGGGCGAGGGCAGCCGTGATACGGCTCTAGCTCTTCTGCCTAAACTCAGCCGGAGTGGCCTTGGCTCTCCAAGCAGAAGAAGCTGGTAGTCTTTAGTCTACAGGTTTTATGTGCCCTTATGCCACAGTAAAGTGTTCCTGGGTAATTGTTTGCTGCTGTCTAGGATAACAAAAGTCAGTTACCTTCCAACCTCAACAGAATCAAATTGGCTAGTTGTCTTCCCTTACAGTGAGGGAGCTTTTTGCTTGAATCCTTTGGAGTGCTTTGCTCTAGTCTTCCAATACCCATAACGTAAATGCAAAAAAATATCAAAATCAAAATCACACCAGTTCTTATTTCATAAAAGTAAGTATCAAATGCTTAGGAAAACTCACCTGCACAGAACATGTTGTCTGTGATTTTAATTTTGGTAGATGCCTTACAGGTGTCTCGATCTACAATGGGGAGGTTCACCAACTGCAAATATGTGGGTAAGGCAGCGCTAGAGCCCCAGGTCTCATAAAGGTTTCCCCAGCCAGTCACACGTCCTTTGTACCCTGACAACAGCAGGCTGCAGAAGAAGATTAGGTTTAAGACAAGGTGGCATCACTGCAAGAAAAGGTCAGAATTTACCGGAAAATGAACTCTCATCAGACTGTCAGTCTAACAAGAGCTTGTTTTATTTAAATTTATTCAGTCAATACATGGTAAACGAAAACGGGTTTAACATTTTATTCCAGCCTAAGCTTCTGTGGACTAGAACCCACTACAGATGCAAGATGTAGATGGATACATAGGATGTGTCTTCAGCAACTGGACTCCAGTCCAGCATTCATATGGAACTGCTAGGGTATGGCAGACACAATGAGCCTCTGCACATTCATAGGGAGTCACCACCATCCTCTGCAGCACTAAGAAGAAGCTTTTGCAGAGGAAACGGTTAGGGCAGCCATCCAGTGCTCAGTTCCCTTGCTTACAAAACCATTAAGGGAGAACAAATTCTTTTCTACAGTACTGAAAGAGGCCCTCCGTATGTATTAGCAAGGAGAACTTTAGGTGTTTTTTTCCTTTTGCCAAGGGATGCTCTGCTTTGCACACCTTTATCCCACCCCTTCTCTCCAAGGAGCTTGGACTGATGTATGTGATCTTCCCTCCCTTCTTTACAGCCAGGGTGATGTAGCTGGAAACTGGATTATGATCTGTGGCCTTGGGCCAGTGACACACACTCAGTTTAACCCACTTCGTAGAGTTACGTAGGCTCCGGTTCACATCTCCACTCTGCCATGAAAGCTTGCTCTGTGGCCTTGGGCCAGTGACACGCACTCAGTTTAACCCACTTCGTAGAGTTACTGTGATATAAAATGCAAAGGAGAACCATGTAAACTGCTTTGAGTCCCCACTGGGTAGAAAGCAGGGTATAAATGAAGTAAATTATATTTTACAACAACCCTGTAGTGTTGACCAGGCTGAGAGATGCTGACTGGCCCAAGGTCAATTTTAAAAAAAAGGAATTTGAGAGCCAGGATCCTGGTCTATGCTATACCACATTGGCAGTCTATATATTATGCTTTCTTTTTTCTTTTTCTTTTTTAGAATAACCCCAGTTAGTATCCTTGGGATTTACTTCCAAGTAAACACAGTTAGGATTAGACTTATCATTTAGATGGAGTGTCAGGTTTTCTGACAGCTTTTCCTTTTTAAAAACCTTTCTAATAGTTTTGTGTTTTTTTTGGGAAATATTACAGATTTCGTTACAACTGGAAAGTTTGGTGGACTGCATTCCTTCCACAGCCAATTCTATTTATCCTTCATGTTCTGTTGGTGGCAACTCACAACCTGATAGCCAAGAGTAGCTGCCTTTAGGCTCTTGTTCCTTTGGAAGAAAGACAGGATACAACTATTTTAAATAACTACCAGAGTTTTCTTCTCCCATATTTGCGGCTACTCCAGTTTTCATCACTGGAAGGACTGGGGAGAGAAGAGTTTTTGTGGTACCTCATAGCACAGATATTACCCTGGAGTTTGTTCACTGGCCCCATTCACCCAAGATAAACAGAGAACTTGGATTTGCTCATCATCACAGAATCATTTTGGATTGGGCTCTTTCTATGAAAACCACAAAAATCCAGTCCACAGGTTTCTGGTCCCATCTCTTCTATGAAGCCTTCTCACCTTTGCACAGTTTCTTTGGTGGGCAAGCAGACTGGCTGGATGTAGTCACTGAAAGGAACAGGCTTCCTCAAGCGCAACAGTGCAATATCCCGATCTAGATTCTCCTTCCAGTTGTATTTGGGATGGATGATGATTTTGTCCAGCAAGACAATTTTTTCCCTGGTCTTCTCATGTCTTCAAGGATCCCAAAGAAGGAGAAAAACAATGACAGCATATAAATATTGATGGAATACTTTCAACATACCAACTGTTTACAACCCTCAAGTCCAACGGACAGCTGATTAAAGCTCTCTTTCACACAAAGGACTCAGAGAATAAAAGGTGCGTACTTTGTACTGTGGGAGGATGAATAATGGTGGCCTTGTTCTGGAAGGGTTTTCTTCATGTCAGGAGATGTGATGATGCCTAAAGACATGATCTCCATCATTGCCCCCTGGTAGGCTTCCCTTTGTCTATTACGGCTATTAATCACTTGATTGATAAAAAGAATCCCTTTGCAGTGCTTACATTCTTCTGTTATGTTTGCCAATTCGGACAACAAGGTCGTCTGCCGTGAAGTTCTTATCCCAGGGTGGGTAGAAGATACAATGAGCAGCAGTCAGGATCCAGCGATCACTGATGAGGCTGGCACCACACAGCAAGTCTTGAGGGCTTTTCCTGAACAGCATCACTTGCCTAGAGTAAAGTCACGGGAAACACCCAAGGCCAGTGGTTTATCAGATGCACTACAGAGAAAGAAGGGCTGCAGACAGGCCTGTCTCTGCACTGGCAGGCTCCTGGGCAAAGGAGGAATAGGGCAGAAACACATTCTGCAAAAGCTTCTTCCCTGGGCTGCTATGGCAGCTATACCATAAGAATTGACCGATGCGACCTGTGCGGTCCTGATATTTCAACCATCATTAAAACATAGAGAAGGGAAGGGTCGTGACTGTGAATGAATATAGCCAGTGACACTTACCAAGGAGCACTGCCTGACTGAGCATCTTGTCCCTTTACAATTCGTCCGCCCATGGATTCTAGGAGCTCCTGCTCAAAATCGTCAGCAATCTTCCTCTTCTCAAACAAGGGACGGAGACCACAGTCTGGAAATATAGTCCCATCCACCCATCAGTGCCCACAATTACAGGCTCCTCTTCTATGAACCAGCATTTTCTGCTAGAAAAATATGGGCTGAACCAGACACTAATAGAACTAACTAATACTTATGTAGGAACTACACAGATTATGAGTCCCTATGTCCCTGTCTTGTTGGTAAATGGAGTAATGGGAGTTGATACAGGACACCAGTGTTCCCTCTAAGCTGAGTTAGTGTGAGCTAGCTCACAGTTTTTTAGCCTCCAGCTCACACATTTTTGTCTTAGCTCAGGAAGGATGGCTCCAGAGCAGACTAATGTATGCAGCAGCCAAATTGCTCGCTCACAACGTTAATGCCAGTAGCTCACAAAGTAGAATTTTTGCTCACAAGACTCCACATCTTAGAGGGAACATTGCAGGACACCAGTTTTGGTCCTGAATGGTGCTTGCTCATGGTGTGTGCATGTGCTCAAAAGATCATTGTCCAGACACTAAGCCAGTATACAATATTATTAATTTTAAGGAGTTTACGTGAGTGTCAATTCTGAGTGCTAGTTGATCAGATTATACTGTGGGACCATTCTCTCAGCGTCTTAAGCACAATGAGGAATTCTGGCTGAATACAACTATACTAGCCATTAAAATCCTACAGTGCTCTTGCTGATTCTAAGCCGAAAATTCTGGCTGAATACAACTATACTAGCCCTACAGTGCTCTTGCTGATTCTAAGCCGACTGCTGCTGAAAACAGACTGAGGATTGGATCCAACCAATTTTTTCACTCAGTCCCTCCCAGTCCCCCACCTTAGTACAGCTTCCATCAGATCCCATGATCCCCAGTTCAGCCTTTTTGATGGTCAAAGGAACCCACCTCCTCAGTTTTCACCTATATACCAGCAACAAGCAACACTGTTTCAATCCTTGTATCTGAATTAAGGAGAGCTTAAGATGCACGTGTTATTGAGGGAAGAAGTTCCAGCCCCCTCTATTGCCCCCTTTTTGCTGAGCTTGGCCTCATTTCTCACCTGCTTCACCTTGGCCAAATGACCTAGTGTCAAAGAAGAGTTCGCGCTGTTGGGCAGCTGTCCGGCCTCCTATCGCGCTGTTGGGCAGCTGTCCGGCCTCCACGTCCTCTGGAGAGTTTTCTGAAAAAGATGGAGTTGAGGGTGGGGAGAAACTAAGACACACCTTTGTTTGCGGAGGCCTTGGTCATCTAGTCCTATTCTTACTTTCCATCTCCTTTTTCAAACATAGGCCAATGGGGGCAGAAAAAAACCTACTGGATAGAATTATTTAGCATATTTATTTAAAACATTTCTATGCCGCCTTTCTACCAGTTCCATGTCCCTGAGGTGGTACGGTCCAAGTGTGTTATTTAGAAGGGTTCAGCATACACACTATAATTACATACATGCCTCGGACTCATCTAGTTTGACCATTTCACCAGCTCATCTTCAGATGCTCCTAACTCTTTCCTCATTACCACAAGTGTTATTTAGAAGGCTTCAGCACACACACTATAATTACATACATCCCTCGGACTCATCTAGTTTGACCTTTTCACCAGCTCATCTTCGGATGCTCCTAACTCTTTCCTCATTACCACAAAACTGGAGACCTGTCTCTTGTGGGCTCCTCACCACAGTAGTGCAAGTCACAGTATTCAAAGGTGGTATTCGGATGGTCTATGTAGCACCAGACGCCTTCGTCATCATCATCCGGGTTGCGACAATAGTTCTCCAGGAGATGTACATCTGGCAGGAAGGAGGCACTATGGCTTAACTGCCTTGCTTTTTCAGAGGCCCACGGCAAGCACTGCTTCCCAGAGAGGGTGACAGAGAGGGTCCCAGTATACCCCAGTCCATGATCAGCTTCACAGGGTTGGGGCTGCTGCTTTATGTCTTCTTGTTGAATTTTTGGAGTAAATGGAACTGTGGTTCGGTTCTCACCTAAAAATAGAAGCACAGCAGCCGTGATCATTAGGAAAAGCCCATTCTGGGTTCTGTGACGGTACATACATTGACTGCTGGCGCAAGTATTTATTTATTTTACAAAATTTATATCCCACCTTTCTGCTCTCACAAGGGCCACCCATACAGCAAACAAATTAAAACATACATAGTAAAATAACATTTTAAAACCACTAAAACCAACCAAGCAAAAACAATGGCAACAAATAATTAAAGCAATTAAAATCAGAGCGAAAAAGATATGAAGACATAAAAACAGTATAGTATAGTTGCTGCCAAAAAGAGCACAAAACAATTAAGACAATGGGGCAGAAAAGAGAAATCACTGACGGAACCCCAAAATCTTCATCCACTGGTGCAAGATGGCAACAGAGGGGGACACACACATCTCTCTGAGGAAGAATGCCAGAGTTATGGTGCCCAGCTTACTGCAAACCTTGCATTCACCCTAAGTACATCTAAAGCTTGGAGCAGCATATCCATTAGGCTAGCTGTGGCAATCTGTTGCAGCAAAGATAAACAAGACTATTGTGGAACTTCAACCCCCCCCCCCCTTTTTTACTTTCACATAAACTTCTGGGCTGGTTTTATCAGCTGCAAGGCTTATCCTCATTGCATCCTGGGCTTCCAAAGATATTTGGGACATATATTAGGTTTAACTTGAGCCACAGATCACAAGTATTCAGATGTGGAATCAGTTTTGAGTGCCAAGGCTTAGCCCTATGCTGTGTGAAATAACAGTTAGGGAAGACCATACCTTAACATACTTAGCGGTTTTGCTAAGCTATATGAGCAGAGAGCTTTTCTCTCTCCTCTGTCATTAACCACTCATCTAAGGGAGTTCATCCAGTTCTTCTTATACAAGGCATGGCAGATTCTGACTGAAACAACGACACTGGGTCATGCCTCGAGATAGGTCACAGATACCAGTTGTGCATGGACTGCTTCTGTTCTCCACAGATGAAGTAACTGATTCAGTTCAGACATATCAAGAAACCATGGTTTATTTTAACAACAGTTAGTTTGTGAAACCAGGTTTCAGCACAGAGATGATCACTGAATTCTCTCTACATACGACCCACACATTTCAGTAAAGGCAATGCCAAGGAACAAGAAAGGATGTCTATGTTTGTATCGTTTCACAGGCTATAGTTAAGATTAACTATGGGTAATAAACCAATTTCAGCCCATGGTTTCAGATCGTGGTTTGATGAACCCTAAGTACCCATTGTTAGGCTGTTTCCACGTGGATGTTTGTTGTGCGTTGGCCTCCTTACAGCTATGCTGGTTTTGGGGTACAACCAGATAACATCATCCTCTATTTGTCCTGTATCTGTGTGGGCCCCTCTCCACTTTGCTGTTATCTAACCCTGTTTTGCTATGATATTTTTGGAAAGACTGCAGTCAAAGTGCCTTTGGATGCTAAGTGGATAGGAAGTTGCACATTTTTGCAGGTTCTTCCCACATTGGAGCCATTTTCCTTGTTGGAACCAGCCTTTGTTGACTCATTTCAGGCTTTAAGAAAATTGGTAATTGATGGATCAATATAGGGTTACAACATTGTAACAGTTTGTCCCATTATCTACTTGTTTCCAGCTTTCATTAAAAAAAAATATTTAGGTATTTTTGTTGCAGAGTTATAAGAGAAAATGTGTGGGCTGTACTTTTCTTCTTATTTGTTTCGTGTATACCCTTTGTTTCTCCCCAATGGAGGGACCCAAAACAGCTTACATTGTTTTCCTCTCATCCATTTTATCCTCACAACAAACCTGTGAGGGAGGTTAGGCTATGTCAGTGGCTCAAGGTCACCCAGCAAGCTTTCCATGGTAGAGCAGGGATTCAAACATGGATCTCCAAGTTCCTAATCTGACACTCTAGCCACTACACCTCACTGGCTCTTATAACTCCGAAACAGAATGGGCTAAAAGACCTGACATTTGCTTTGGTTATGGTTTTAGACTTCTGTCTAGTTCTACAGCCCTAATCCTATTGCATTGGTGACTCACTCCATGTAATCTGCCTTGAGTCCAAGTGAGAAAGTCAGACTATAAATAAAATAAATGAATAACTGGATGAAAGGACAGATCCCCTCATTTGGGGAGGGAAGAGACCATTTGGAATCCTACACCTGTACAATTAATTCAGGGTTAACCCCTTGAGTGTATTGCATCTAAGGCCAAAGTGACTGAGACATGTTTTTAAAAATGTATTAATAACAACGCATCTACAACTATGTGAAATTTGGCTTTGGGTGGTTTAGAGGGGAAACTTTGCAAACCTCCCTTTGCAAACAAGGTTCAGATCTAATCATATTTTAACAAAGTGACCAGCAATAAGACTCACCACACACAGGAACAGCACACTCTTCCAATCGCACTGTTGGGTCTCGGGTGTAGCACCAAGGCCCTGTTGGGCTTTTATTTGGGTTCCGGCAGTAGTTGTCTGTCAGGTTGGCATGTGGAGATGTTGTTATGTTGAAGCTGGAAGAAGCCATGGTATAGTAAAGAAGGGCCAGCAATACAAGAAAACACAACTTCTCCTCTTCCAGCTGAGTTTATAAAAAAGAACTGTGGATCCTGCAGTTCTCTGTGTTATGTTGCACATTGTGCTTTTTGTACACAGAAAGCACTTCTGTTAGGAAAAAGTATGAAACTCAGAGACAGACATCTGGATTTCCCCATGTGCATATGCAGAAATGCTGTGAATGAGTTGTGTGCATATCACATGTATATGGAAGTAAGACGCACACCCCTAAGTTACTATAGAGTTAACTTACAAATTTCACTCCCCCTCCCCATGCCCCCAGCCTGCTAACATATAACTTAGTGGTTTCAGACGTTCTGCCTGTGGGGAATCCTTTCTATTTCAATTCGCATGCTAAGGATTCCTTGGCAGATTTTGGGGTGTGTTCTCGGGTTCACAGCCATACCCTACAGGGCACATGTTGCACTCCTCTGCTGCTCTATCCGAACTGTGATGACACAGTATGATAAATTCAACTCCCCCAGCATCTGCATTTAATGGAGTAGATCGTCAGTACAGCGCCAGTAATTTTTCAGGGAAGCCTTTTTGCTTTACTGGTCTTCTAAACAAAGGAAAACCAACCCTCAAAACATGGCCTACGGAAGACCGAAAAAGCTTTTGAAGGGACTGAATGTTGAGAACCATTGAAAGAAAAAGAGAGTTGGGGGGGGGAACCACCCTGTTCAAGACTCTGAGAGCTTGGGGAATCCTGTCGGGGAAGAGTTTGAGGACTGGGATGGGATTCCCAAAGTGCTTATTCCTGCCTCCCTCACCCTGTAATTTCTCATGAGCCTCTACCCTGTCACTTTGTTTAATAGTAAAGGGGCTGGTCCCTCTTAGGATAATGAAAACAGCAAAACCAGGTCCTGCAGAGTCAGGATAAGTTTCTTCATACCGAGGTGACTTCCCAGATACACAGAACATTATGACTATCAAATTAGCCAAAAGAAAAAGGTTACTTCCCCCCACAGTAGCCTAATGAGGATCAAATATATTCCTGAGGTATGGAATATCAACAGCAATTGAGAATCAGTTAAAGGAAAAAAGGAGGAGTGAGGAGAAAGCCACCTGCTTGTGCCTCTGCGGAGTTAATTGTATACTTCCTGAAAAGAGAAGGTTTGAGCGGTAGCATATAGCTTAGCAAAGTATAAGTTTGGGACTTACTCAGGTTTGTGAGGAAATTTGCTTGACCAGAACTGGCATTCAGTTCCTGATCTGGTGACATAAATAGTTCCCCTGTAGTTTTGCCCTTCATCTACCGCACAGTTACCTGTTAGAGTTCAAAACACAAACCGGAAGAAACAGACCTGGTGGTATATTCAGAGAGTCCAGGACATCCCATTTCAGACTGTTGACTTCAATTTAGCCTAAGGCACAGAACTAGTTTATACATACATATACATAACTCAATTTATCTACACTTGATTATTGTACCCTTGGTAACTGCTTTAACTGCTTGGTTAACTGTTTTTAAAAAGTTAAAACAGGTGAATGGCTGAACTGACCTCACTGTGGTGTTAGGCAGACCATTCACACATGGACATCACTGGATATTATAGACATTACATGATAAACAAGCATGTGTGGCCCAGTCCATAGAAAGGTGTTCAATTAATGCACACACACAAATATACACATTACTTGTGCCTCTTTCAAGGTCTTGGGGATTGCTGTGATAGGAAATAAGCACTGGATCAATGCCAGAATTACGAGTAAACTATCTGTAAATTTAGAAGGCACATTGATTATAGGCTATATCGCATTATATTACAGGAAACAATCGCGTTTTCAAAGATGTGTACATGCAAAACAGAATCCCAACCAATCTCTGGTTTCCTGTCACATGCATGCCGTTTTTACACCGGCTGCAGATGGCTCCACTCTCTGCTTGGAGACATAGTTGTTGTTTTTTTTTTTTAAATGGACCTATTTTATTACTTTTAAGAACTCTTAAAACTCTTATCTTATCCTTCTCCTTCTTTAAATTGGAGCTGTTTTTTAAAGATGGTTTGTTAGCACAAGGAACAAAAGCCCTGTTTGCCTAATTGGATAATTAGCTGGTGTTACTAGCTTGCTATATGGCTGATGGCCAAAGGAATCACAATCTTTTTAGTTTTAAACAATTTTGAAGTGGGAACTATCTGACCTTGGAACTACTTCTAGATTGTATCATTCATTTACCATTCTTTATGCTTTTGCAACCTCTGCTATCTGGAATCAGGGAAAAAAAATGAGGTCTTACAAATGGGGAAGGGAGATGGAGGAGATTCTGCCCCCCAAGTCTAAACAATCAAAAATTGGGGACCTCTTTCCATCAATTGATTCTGAGCTATCACAAACTTTTCAAATCCCCATGTTGAATCGGTTTTCACCATTGGTGGGAGGATAACCCGCTTGAAGGCTCATTTACTGATACTCCCTCTGGAGTGGCAACTAGCAGCTTAGATAAACCAACTGAAGATGCAGCTTACGCACCCCCTAGTGAGCCAGTTAATGTGGTAACTGAAACCTCACTGGATATATTCTTTCTACTTGCTGACTCAATGAACTTCATTTGCAAAAGTCTCAACTCTTTACATTCTAAAGTAGACGGTTATCACAAGAGTATTATCAAGCCTATGTGGTGGCAAGGAAAACTCCAGTGTATGGAATTCACATCATTCAAAGTACAGGTTTGTCTCCCTACAAGTGGTTTTCTGTGTATGTGGCTTTACACCAGGCATACCTGCTAAAACATGTTGCATGAGATGTTCTCATTGAACTTTAGGAGAGACACAGATTCACGCACCTGTGCCCTTGCTCACACTGCCCAATCAGCACCTCACCGTCTGTTCAGAATTTGTTTCCAAATTCCTTGAAAAGATTCCTAGTGCTAATCATAATCAAGCCATCACAGTTTCTCATAGTCTTCTTACCTTCCATGCATGCATCCAAAACTGCTCTGACGTTCCTCCGAGGCAAACAATCTAGCAAAAGAAGAGTAAAATTCAGCTCAAATGGATCTGATCATTCATAACATCCGGAGAATGATCTGGTCAAAGGGATTTCCAACCCAGCCTCCCTAATATAGTGAGATAAATGGATGGAGCCTCTCCAGGAGTTGCCTTTCCCTCACCCCACAAGCAGACTGGACTCCAAGGCTAAATAATGGGACAGCCTGGCTGCCCTTTTAATTGACTGGGAGTTTATAGGGCACCTCTCCCATTTCTGGCCCCCAAAGACAAACAAAACATTGGGTAAAGATTAATCAGGAAGAAAATTATGTGTGCATGCTTCCTCCAATCTAGAAGAGGTGTCAGTAAGCAATCATATTAGGAAGCTGTCTATTGGAGCTCTTGGTTGTGGCCAGTAGTCTTGCGGTGGCATTAGGTGGCATGAGTTCCCTGTGGATAGAAGAGTGAGGAAGAGCCTAATCCTACACAGAAACAACAGATCTAAGCAATGGCTGGAGGGGGTGGGTATGATTGACATTAGCATCATCAAGAAGGGGCTAGCAAAAAAAAGGTAAGTTGGCTGAGATTTAGATGTGGGTGGGTGAAAAGCAGTAACACCTCAGAATCTGGAAGCTGGGCAGGGGCTCATTAAGTGGAAGGAAGAGAAAAAACTAGACCACAGCAATGGAAACCTGGTTAGCACGGTTGTGGGAAGAGGGTGTGCATGTGCGTATGCATGCCACATGGTCAGCTTTATAAGAGTGAGGAAGGATGGGCTGGGATAATTGGATTTGCAGGCTATCTGTATTTCCCATCTGTATTCACTTAGAAACATATCCTGCTAAATTCCAAAGACTCTACTTCCCAAATCTGTGTGCTTGGGACTGAAGCTCTAGGATATCTAATCATAGCCATTTACTTAAGGAGATTATGCTCCAGCTCCTGTGAAGAGAGCTTCAAGCCAGAGTTTTGAATGAAGCTCAGCAGTAAAGCTGGTAAAGGTAAAGGTTTCCCTTGCTCGAAAGCCAGTTGAATACAACTCCAGAGATGCGGTGCTTGTCTCCGTTTCCAAGCCGAAGAGCCAGCATTGTCCAAAGATGTTTCCGTGGTCATGTGGCCGGCATGACTAGACGCCGAGGTGCATGGAACGCTGTTACCTTCCCACCGAAGTGGTACCTATTTATCTACTTGCAATTTCTTGCTTTCGAAAAGCCTGTAAAACCATCAGCTTATTCAGCAAGACTCAGATAAGACATACCTGTATATTTTATCCAGAATGCATCCTGCAAAACAAAGGAACTCAACTTAGAAGAACGGCCATAGAGCAAATATGCAGATATGCAGGTCAGACCCTTTATGCTGCCTGGATGGAAGGGTGCATGAAGCATTTCAGAGGAAGAGAGGCACACAAATAAGGAAAGGAGACTTTGCTTCTGCCAGAACTAAACAGCCCTGACCTGGATAGCTCAGGCAAGACTGATCTTGTCAGATCTCGGAAGCTAAGCAGGATCGACTCTGGCAAGTACTTGGATGGGAGACCTCCTTGGAATACCAGAGGTGGGAGGTGGGGGCAGGCTTTATTTAGCCACCTCTCTGAATATTCTCCAGGACCCCGGGGTCAGTCACAAGAGGTTGCCATGACCTCTAGGTGCACACACACAATCACACATTCACATACACACACATAAAAAAATACAAAAAATAAAGCTAGTGCTAAGCTGAGATGTAAAGGTCTCTGGGATAAGTGCTGAGTGCCTTGTTATAAACCCATTTATTAATTTAACTTAAAGACCACCCTCCCCTGGTATACAACATTTCAATAAATTCATATATTAATTGATAATAGTTAAATTCAGTTTAAAACAGTTAAAACAATCACAACTAATTCAGATGGCGCTGGATACCAATTTATACCCTTCCCAAGAAGGGAGGAGTGGAGGAGGTCAGGCTGGATGACAAACCCTTGCTGTCCTCAATCGTAGGCCCAGTGGAACATTTCTGTCTTGCAGGCCCTGAGGAACTGCACTAAGTCCCGCAGGGCACGGATGTCACTAGGCAGAGTTCCTCCAGGCTGGCACCAGGGCCAAAAAGGCCCTGACTGTGGTCGAGGACAGATGGATGTCTTTCCTAGAAAACTAGGCACAAACATCACAATGGTAGTAGGGAGCCAGGTATATCTGACTAACTAGTTCCTGTGGGAATTAACACTGTTGTACGTACTGTTAAGTCTTTGGACTCAAGGGCTTCACGAGCCTCCTCATAGCTGCAGGTTTCCTCCATACATTCTCGTTCTAGGTTGCCTCGAAGAACCTCTTCCATGAACTTCTTGTTGGCACGTCGGGAGCGTTTCAGCAAGGAGAAGGCTTGCTTCTGCTCCAGAAAGACTATGAAAACCAGAACACCCAGCCAGTCAGCCATTTTTGGACGAGACAGAGCAACATACTTTTACACTGGAGTTTTAAGCAAAGGTTGGACAGAACAATAACATACAAAGCAATGAAAAGTCATCTAGCCTCAGCTGCTTCAGCAAGGCCTGACCACTCATTAATTTGTCATGCTAACACACACACACATCATCTTCTACAATCTGGACCACAGTGAGAGAAGTAAAAATGGGTGCCTTTGCAGAAAAGTGCAAAACTCCAGATAACTGAACCAAGGGAGTGTGGAGGAAGGCAAATGATGAATGAAAAAGATGAAGATGATGAGACCTTGGTACAAGGTTTTTGGGCCCAGAAAGAAAATTAAACAGTGCAATCCTATGAGAATTTACCTCAGTCTTTGCTCCTTGATTTCAGTGACTAGTGATATGACATTAGTTATTCATTTTATTTTACTTTGTTTATAGACAGCCTTTTTAGCTGAGACTCATGGCAGATTACAGGTTCAGACAGCGTAAAACATATAGCCTTTACTATGTTATGTTATTGTGATCATTTGCAGTATATGTAAAATGCAAGATGCTGGACTGTCAAATAAAACCCTCTATGGCCACTCTGCTACATGGGTTGCCAAATGCTTCCCTAAATCTGCTCTGCAAACCAGAAATTGAAGTGTCTCTATAATACAAGGACATTTTCTCATAGCATCTTGAAATATAGAAGGGAGGATCCCCTTGCATCAAGAGCACAATTCCTATTTCATCCCAATGTTATGAAAAACAAAAAGATGGAAATGTGTTTCCCATTAAAATGAAAACAAAAATTAATAACAGAAATTGGAACTAATAACAGGGGAGCGTCTGTGGCTCGATGGCAGAGCATGTGCTTGGCATGCAGAAGATCCTTGGTACAATCCCCAGTATCTCCAGTTAAAAGGATCAGGTAGTAGGTGATGTGAAAGACTTTTATCTAAAGACCCTGGAGACCCACTGCCAGTCTGAGTAGACACTACTGACTTCAATGGATCAGTGGTGTGATTCAGTATAAGCCAGTGTCATGTGCTCTATTTTAAAAAATCTGCCTGCACACTTGCTAATGACTGCCTTCTGTTAAAACAGATGGAATACAGAAATCACCAGTCCCCTGTCCCCAGGGCTAGGATTCTCTAACAATGTTAATTTATCATCTAATCCTTACCCATACACATTAAATTGCCTTTCTCTTCTTTTCCCCTCATTTTATTTCCTTAATATTGTTCGTTGGTTAAAATGTTGTCAGCATTTTCAATCCACTAAATTAACTAGTTCCTGACCTGGAGAGCCCAGACTAGCCTGACCTTATCAGATCTCAGAAGCTAAGCAGGGACAGCCCTCCTTAGAACTTGGATGGGAGACCACCAAGGAAGAGGCAGGCAATGGCAAATTACCCCTGAACACCTCTTGCCTCAAGGACCCTACAGCAAAAAACAAACAGGCAAAGGGTTATGGAGTAAGGAGGTGGTGAAGAGGAGACTGCTGGTAACCCAGGAGATAGTAAACAAAAACCAGTTGAACAGTAATTGGCTGTCAATAATAAAAGTGTAAAAGAAATGCAGACAAACTCTATTTTGTTGTTCTAGCTGCAGACCAGGATCCAGAACCAGCTTAGTATCAACCCTGTGCCCCAAACTAAATTCCTTTGATATGGTATCTCTCACTGCTCTGTGAGCAGCCCCCCACCCTCCTGTTTGCTCTCTTGTGCAGAGACCTGTTTGCTCAGAGCTTATTTTGTGACTGCCTCTTTGGTGGCACATCCCGGTATCTGTTTGCATAACCCCCGTATCTGAACCTTTGTAGTCTTCTCTCCCTGCTGGGGGGAGTTAGTGTCTCATCCAGATTTTACAGCGTCCAACCTGGCCCCAGCAACGAGTTCTCAAGGATGACATGACTGGCCCTATGGCAACAGGGACGTCAGGGGCAAGGAAGATATGGGAATGGAAAGAATTTGAGAAAGGATAATTTTCAAGTTTCATGACAGCTCTGGTACGATCTGAAAGTTAAAGTGTCTTTTATGGTTTTTCCATACCACACTTGAAATTAAGCTTTTTCTCAAACATATTAGGAAAATTCATCAGAAATATTGACATTTAAAGGTATGCCTGTTTAAAATCAGCTCCCCAAAATGACATATAATTAAAAATATGTTAATATGGCAGAAAGGAAGCAAAATCAGGAAATTTGCTTACAAAAATGTTGCTTACAAAAAAAGGCATGCATAAAAACTCAACAAAATTAAAAAACAAACAAAACAAGAACAACAAAAAAGCATATTGTATGTTCCTACACCAGCCCACAGTGCTGGAAACACAATACACCCTGTTTTTTGGAAAACTATAAACAGCTTGGAAGAGCTCCCCCCCCCCATTCTCCAAAAAGCCAAGTAAAGCTTGGATTTAATTTCTTGTGAGACTAAAGATGTGTACAGGACTGTAGTGTTGATTAATGAACATCACTCCTTAATCTGTCAACAAAGAGTACAGAAAAATATAAGCATGCACAGGGCAATCTGCCATGACATGCTATTTTGCCCTTAGATGTGCATGTTAACAGTAGTAGAGTAAGAAATGACTTCAGCAGCAGTTTCCTTCCAGTTGCTCCTCTGGAGCTTTCTCCCCAAGAACCACCCAGGGTTTCTTTGTGCACCAAAGCCTTTTAAATATAGGGCAAAATAAATGTCTCTACACAATTGCAATGGCCACTCCCTCTCCTTAAAGGATGCCTTGGACAAATTGCCCCGCACTGATTCAACACTATTGCCCTCACATTGTATTTCTGACATAAGATGCACACAGACTGAACATTGCATCTTGCTGTTCTCAACATGCAGCATCATCCTAAGCGTGCTTACTCTGAAATCCCGCTGACCACCCACAGGACTTACTCCCTGGTATTTGTGCTTAGGAGAGCTGATTTGTTCAACCTCCCCACTTTACTCAGTCCCCCCCTTACCTGTGTCATGGCTCACTGTAAGGTGCAGGAGACTGGATAGGAGAAGAATCCTCAGCATTCTGGCTCTGCTCTGCCCTACTGCATATAACTCCAATTAAAGGAGAAACACAGAGGGAACAGAACAATTACCTCCCAAGCTGGGTTAATGTTGAACCAGCATGAAGAAACAGGAACAGAAACAGGTCACAGTATGTCAGGGCCAGTAATGCTGAAGCTCTCATTATCCCACCCATTCTCTCCCTCCCCTTGATGCATTTACAATCAACTTGATGGCACAGACCATCAGCTCATAAGAATGACTGCATGGTGATTGGGTCCAAAAATGCCAAATATACAGCAGCACTCCCAGAATTCCTGCTCTTTAAGAAATTACCCTTATTTGAAAGGGAATTCTTGCTGCTGTAGAGTTCTTATCTGGATTTTATTTATTTATAGTCCATCTTTTTCATTGAGACTCAAGGTGGATTACACAGTGTAAGTCAAATATAATCAACAGGATGGGACATCCAATAAACAGAGTAATAGGGTTCAGATAGCGGAGATCTGAAACAGAGCTGAAACAAGGGATGTACTAAAATGAAGGACAGGACTGCCCATTGGAAACAATGGGAGAGAGACTTGAAAGCCTATTGGAAATAATGGGAG